TTTGCTTGCTTCTGCTTTAGAAATGTCACTTAATCTTTGAGGGGAAATGTACTGTAGCTGTGTAGAAACCTGACAAATCGCAGAGCAGGATTTTGTTCTGGGGGAGCTAACAATTCCTCACATGCTCCTTCAGCACCTTTTGCCCATTTTCCCCCTCCCTCCATCATGATTCATCTCTCCCAAGATTCTTTTTCTTTCTTTTTTCGTCCTTTGTTCCTGTTCTTACATTTTCCTTCGTTCATCTTCCCCTTCTCTCTGCCCTCATGCTTTCTGCCTGTCTGAGCTCTCTCCCCAAGTTCCAGGCACACCGGGCAGATTTGGATTTTGTTAATGTACTTAAATCGGCACGCTCAATGAGAAAAGCTCTTACTGCTGACCACAGCCTGCAGCCAATGAGCTGACATAGGTGTTTCATTTTGTGAGTGGGACCTAGCCAGGGCCTTCAGATCAGACAGCTGGCCTAGTCTACCTGCATCATCAGTCCTCTCATCACACACACGTACACACAGCTATCTGCTCAGCAGCGATAAGCCCGGTCAGTCGCTCCTTGGCTGATTTAGATGCGGTAGTAGCCTTGTGGCAGACATCAAGGTCAGGATAAAGCACCTGCCCTGCAATCATCTTTTCATGGTTGAATGAAAACTATTAGCCTTTCACATGCTGGTTACTACACAGTGCACCCCTATATCTCACTCACAGGACAATGCACTCAGCAGCAGTTCTATTGGACCTGCAGCCTTGCGTGTGAATGAACACACAACACCCTGAAGGAAAAAGCTGAAGCAGTTGCATTTCTGTAATGTTCTTTGGCTGCTTGTCTGCTTTTTTTGCTTGTTCTTTACAGCCCACCGTACCTGTTACTGTGTGCATGTCTCAAAGTCCTAGAGGCAGGACCTGGCAAAAATGCAGAATGTTTGTGAACAAACAAAATGTATTGAGTGTTTACATGTATGTCACAACATACCAAGACAGGGATAGAAAATGTGCAAAACATTGACTCTTGTGTGTGTCGGTGAGAGAGACGTCATTCCTGAATCCCATTCCTCCTTCCATATGTGCAGGAGATACTCAGGCCAACTCTGCCTACCACATCAGAGTTTCCTGTTTTCAGTTCTGGCTCAAAGCAAGAGGAGTCAGAGCTGTGGAATAGGGAGGGGAACACTGTCTCTGGCTGTGTGTATGTGTGTGTGAGTGAGTGAGAAGGAGAGAGAGAAGGGGGTGTTGTGGGGAGAAAGAACAGCATGTGTTTCAGAGAAGCAGAGAAGTGTGGTGCTGGTAGTGTCAGTGGTTTGGTTGCAGCTGTAGAGCTGCTGTGCTCAGTGCTGAGTGCTGCTTTTGATCTTTTGGTACAGCGGTGCAGATTGACAGATTGTGGAGGTTCTGCTTTACTGCAGTTGCAGTAAGTGCTTATTAAGTATGCACATGTACACTATGCGTGAGAGAGCATGCTCTGTTGGCTCCTCCAGCGCGTAGTTTATGGGTGTGTGTGTGTGTCCCTTGGCACTATTCTGTGTGCGTTTGCGCAGCGTGGTTCATTGCCAAGGTGTAACCAAAGACACAGATAAACACACACATACACATTCAGGGATAGACACCCAGTGAGCAAGCTGGACCTCAGTAGCAACCCTCTCCTAAAATAACAGACATTCTTCCTCCACCTCCTTCATCACCACTCCCAGAAATACAAAGCACAACACAGATGTAGAATCACTGGCAGCGGTGAGGCAAACTGTGGGGCAAACCTATGGTTTAACCTTGTTAATCATTCCCAGGACACTTATCAAGTTTCGGCCAGGTTTGAGTCTTGTTCTTTGGCCTGAGTGTAGATGATCTTTGCTAAAATGCAGGTTTGTTGAGGTTGTGGCCTCTGAATACGATCTGTAGGTATTGGCTCATGTTGATATCCTCAGAAGCTGTACACATCTGTGGGTTGTCTAAGAGAAGGAATTACTTGCTCATGTGCATTTCAGATGTCATTTTAAATCCAGAGTTAGATTTTTCTAGCAATTGGAAGCCTGACCAATTTGATCTGATAATATAGGGCTGACTAAAATGAAAATACAGCAAAAGGAAACTGTGTCAAGATTTCATAGATTGTTGAAAAGGCTCAGTTGATTATACTCCCATGCTAATAGATAATGTAGCATGGGAGTTGACTTATTGGAAATGAGAAAATGGTGATGTAGTCCATTATATGTTACCTTACATGATTTAGTACATTTTGAGCAGTCAATGCAAAAAAGTGTATGCCTTTTATATTAAAACGTAAGAATAGTCCTAACCCCCAAAATCTGGTATTGGTCAGGCTGTAGCTTCTTTTTCCTCTGCAGCTGTGCACTGTTGTAGTTTACACAGTCTCCCTCTGTCTCCCTCTCTTTGGCTCTTTGTTTCTCTCACCCTCTCAAATGTGCGAAATTCTGAAGTGGACAGAACACTCATCAGATTGGCTCAGAAGCCATCTGTCCTGATATTGTGATTTTGTGGACTGACTAGACACACAAACACACTCAGACATGGAGATTACAGAGAAGTATTTATGTTTTGTCATACAGGAAATTGTGAAATTACCAGATGTACCCAACACAGTTCTGCCGAAATTCAGATGCAAGAGCATGCATTCTCAGAGGATTTGTAAGGAATACAATATTAATCTGGGTCTTTATTACTGTAATTGGTTACCTAAATATTCAGCTGTAACACAATGTAACACAATGTAACACACTGAAAACATTGACTTGTGTTTTATTAAGGTTTATCTATATATGAGATTAAAAACATGAATATAGCAGAAAGCAACTATTTTCTATGTGAAGATGTTACAATGATACAAATGACAAAATGACTGAATTTGTCTATGGAGTCTGGTGGTGAGTTATAGCGATATTACGGCTGTTTCTGGTTAAACAGAGGGTCTGTCTCTGTAGGGATCCTTATCCATAATGTTATCAGACAGTTAAAATAACAATCTGAACCTGTCAGTGGCCAAAACTAGCACTTTTGGTGGATGCACTTTGTCCACTTTGACAGATTAGCTATAACCCATTACATGGTAGCCCCAGCATTGTTAATTGTTGGGCAGACTAAAATCAAAGTTACTTGTTGTTCAACTTAACATGATCCACTTGTGCAACTGCCTTTGGAGCTGTGAGTTAAAGTAGTCAGCATCTGAGTTGCAGCTGCATCAGAAACCGGTCTACCAAACCCTTGCTCTACTTTGTCGAGTTGTTATCTCACACTTCCTCCTGTTTGCCATTATCAGCAGAGGACAGTCTGGGCCCAGGCCATGTCACTGTTGATCGCACAGACAGAGCGCTGCCTCTCTGCGTCAGTACTGTCCAAGGTTGTCAACCTTCTGTCCTCTCTTCTCAGCTCTGTGACTGATCAGCTATGCAAACTTGCACTCTGCCACTTGTGATACTGACGGAGCAAAACGTCAGGAACCATCTAGAACACTGGAATACTGCAGTGTTTATTTAATAAGCTCGGTAGTGGAAGGCCTCACTCAGGGAATTAAATGCATGAAATTAGTAATACACTGACATTAGCGTGGCATGATATTTACTGTAGATCTCATATTGTGTGTAAACCTGTCACAGTAGGATCACTATTTATGAAGACAGTTGTTTATCAAATCAGTTAAGATTAGTCTTAATACTTTTAACAAAATGTTCATAATTACCTTTACCACCAAATGAACTTTAATTTACAGTACTAACATCACTGAAAAGTATGTTGTTCTTCACATCCCCTGTTCATCATTAGGGAATGTTAGTCACATCCGTATATAGACAGGAAAGACTGCAGACGGAAAAGACTTTGAGAAAATAATCTAAACTCATAGTCCACTTACCAACGTCACTCGTGTCAGTAGTTCAAGACCATCAGTTTCACGTTTACAAAGAAAAGAAAATAGACATTTTTTCCTTTTTTACTGCGTTAATACTCTTACTCAGAAAAGTTTTATTATTTGATAGAGAAAAATCCTTGTCATTTATGATTTGTCTTTAATTTTACTTTGTTCAATGAATCTTGAAAAAATCATATCATGAACCCTATATCGTGAATTACATTGAATATTGAGTTAAATGCATCATTTCATCCCTAACGGACACACAATTGTGAGCCGTGATGCACAGTCCTATCAGAAATTTCCTGCTGTTCCACTGGTTGACAGTGTGTGGTCATGACTTCAAAAGAAAGGAAGCAAAGGGTCAGCAAAGGCGGGGAAGAAGGAAACTCAAAACTAGAAAATATGAATGTAAACAATGATGGTCTTAAATGTATTAAAAGAAATCAGCTTTACAGTTGTTATATGAAAAATTACATGCATTCATTTGACATTTATGACTATAAACACACCTGAAATTGTTTGTTTAAATGTGTTATGGAGAGAAGAGTGTGCTTTAATTAGTGTTGCTGTCATATTTGTGGGGGCTTTTGGACACACACATGCCTCTCTTCAAGAGTAATACACATTATTAACTCCACTAAACACACACGCATAAAATACTCTTGACAGAATGGTGTACCTACTGGTTGCCTGCAGCTGAGAAAAATATTAAACTCCTTCCTCCTCCTCCTCCTCCTCCTCCTCCTCCTCCTCCTCCTCCTCCTCCTCCTCCTCTTCTTCCCTCCATATGTTTAGAGAAGGCGATACCATGAACCAAACTGTCAAATGCAATGAATAATGTTCCTTCTCTTTCAGAACTGCAGAATGTGATGTGATTTATTGTCTTAGGTTCACTTCGGTGGAAAAAAATAATAAAGCTGCTGCTGCCTGAAAATGTTGATTTAGTTTTTTATTTTTAACACTTTGAGGTACTTCTTTTAGCTTTTTATAATCTCTGCATGCCTAAATAAAAATTGTCTTTCATTGCAATCTCACGGTGGTTATTAAAATTGAATATTATTAAATCTCTTCTTTCTTCTCTCTCCCCCCTACTCTTTTACTCTTTCTCTTCCCTTCTCTTGGCTCTTTCCACAATTTGGCTCTCTCCAGGTTCTGTTGCGTCAGTTTCGCAGCAGGTGACCCCCACCCCTTCGCCAAAATCCGGCTATTAGATGTGACCACGAGGTTGATCAGGAGAAGCCATCATGTCTTAAACACAGACGGGCCCTCTGGAGCCCTGTCCCCCCACCCTGGACCACCCTCCCCTTCCCCCATCCACCACCTTACCCCTTCTCCCAGCCCCATCCCACTCCCAGACCTTCCTGCACATGTGAGGGACAGGCTACCCAGCCCTGGCTCCCCACTGGCACACCCCTCCCCTCCCTCCGGAGAGATGAGCCTGCAGAAGCACCAGCAGTTGGGTGGTGGTAGCGGTGGGGTGATGGGCTCTGATCGGGACCTGCAGTCTACTGCTTCCTCCATCTCCCTGCCCTCTGTGAAGAAGGCCCCCAAGAAGAGACGCCTCTCCCTCGCCTCTCTGTTCAGACGGCGAGGTCGGGAGTCCAAATCAGGGCGCCAAAGGTCTAGAGAGCTCCAGCACACTGGACCTGGAGGGCTCGGAGGGGTGGACGGCATCGCCAGCATTGAGAGCATCCACTCTGAGATGTGTAACGACAAGAACTCTGCCTTCTTTTCTGTGGCCGGGACCGGAGCTGCCTCTGCTGCTGCTGCTGCTGCTGCTGCCGCCGCTGCTGCTGCTGCCGCTGCCGCCTCCACCTCCACCTCATCTGCCTCAGGGCCTTCTTCCTCTACCTCCTCTTCCTCCTCCACCTCCAAGGTGGGGGGTGGGGTGGGGGCAGAGCTACTGGAGTGCCCGCTGTGCCTTCTGCGCCACTCCAGGGAGAGCTTCCCTGACATCATGACCTGTCACCACCGCTCCTGCATCGATTGCCTGCGCCAGTACCTGCGCATTGAGATCTCAGAGTCGCGTGTCAACATCAGCTGCCCTGAGTGCTCAGAGCGCTTTAACCCACACGACATCCGCATGATCCTGGGTGACCGGGCGCTCATGGACAAATACGAGGAGTTCATGCTGAGGAGGTGGCTTGTGGCTGACCCTGACTGCCGCTGGTGCCCTGCACCGGACTGCGGGTAAGAAGTGAATTTAAATACGTGGCGCATGAACACAGCAAAAATGACATACACTGTCAGCTCACACTGATCCTGTCATATAAGCCAAGAAAATTCCATATAAATGACACATTATATAGAGTTTTTTTCTCTAAAATGTGTTTTCTACCAGATGTGTGCCTGCATATTCAGTTTGAGAAGCTGAATGTGATGTGTGAGAGAGAAATGGGTATGTGTTTCCTTAGGGAACTGTTTTTGATAGAAACAATATAAGGTCAATTATGTCCCATTGGAGGTGAACATGAAAATGTGAAAATACAACAGGCGTAGAATGACTCAGTGAAAGTATAAAGTTAGAGAGAGAAAGAGAGTGACCTTGTCTAACAACTTAGCCAAGGGTATAATGTGTATCCTAGCAAGTGTTTGCCAAAGAAATTCAGTCCATTTTTTACTTCCATTTTCCTCCAACAACCGAGTCATCCATCTCCAGGTCATAAAATAATTAGATGCCCTGAGTCTTCATCTAAAGCATGTTCTGTTGCAGCAATAGGAACGTTTCCACTTACACGTGTACTGTTATGAGTGCTTGTTTTATTGAATAATTATCATATAACTGCAGTACTTATTGTTGTTGCTATTGAGTTATTGGTAAAATGTGCACCCCTCCCAGTGTGAAGGGGTCGTAAAAAAGAATATTTGTGCTTTCCTCGAGTAAATTAAGATTTAAAACCATTATCTAACAGCAAAAGGCTAAAACAAACAGCTGCAAGAATATAGCCATCTATGGCTGTCTGATGATACTCATTTTCACAATTATGATATTCTCATCATTGAGCTGTGATGGTGGAAACTGATCATTGACCTGACTCATTATGTGTGTGTATTCCTTGTACTGTCATTTGCTATTGTATATCAGTCTGAAAACTCGAGAAAAGGCGAAAGGACAAAAAGGACAGGCCACAAAAATGCCACAACAGCAGCAAAAGAAGCAACTTGCCCTGCGGACCCCAGAAAGAGAACGACTGACACTGTCATTGTTGCTGGGCAGCAGCACAGCAACAATTTCTGCCAGAGACCCTGCAGTGACTTTATGATTTATGTACTGATAATTAATGATAACAACTTTTGAGTTTGATGTCCATTAGTTTGAAGGTGCACTAAATATTTGCGTCGCCATGGCCATGATTTGACAGATAATTTCTGCCTGTCTAACTCGCAGCATGCCCCACTAACAGTAATCCAGTTGTGCTAGCTGTTTTGTTGTCTAATTCCCTTCCTGAGTGATGGCTCGTTGGCTGGCTTCCACCCATTCCCCCACACTGTCACTGCACTGTGTCTTTGAAGAGGCCCTGCAGGGTCAAATGGTGACTCAGACCCACTGACGAATCAAATCAGCACCCATTTAAATGGAGTTGAGTGGACGTCTGTCTAAAGTGCCTTAACTGCTTGCTTTTCATAACCCACAAAGTAGGCAAGAGTCCAGATTTTCCATTTATTGAAAATTTAATTGAAGCATTGTTTTCTGTTAGACTGACTGATATGGAAAAATGCATTGCATACATTATCTTTATTATGGAAAATTGGCTCATGTTTTTTTTAATGATAAAAGTTGAAATCATTGCAACATTTTGGAAATGCCATCAGCATGGAAGCATAACCCATTGAGATCTAGTGACAGCCGTGATCCAGGGACGAAGGGTCACGAACACAGGCACACATTGCTGAAAAGGTTTACTTATTTGGGGGAACGACTATCAGCTTGCCTTCATGAACCAGTTTCTGTCATATTTAAAAAAAAAAAAAAAAAGCTCTCCCTCTCTTTGCTTGCTCTTTCTCTCGCAGCCATTTCCTTTTCTTCCAGGAATTGTTTGAGGTCAGGTGGCTACAAAGCCCCCACACCCCCATCCCATCAGACTATCTTGTAGTACTGTTTGTACCACATTCTGAAGCCATAGTAACCTTGAATACTTGGGCCGCTGCATGTTTTGTTTTGTGGGATGTCCTGTTTTGTAACCTTGCCCAGAATAGTAGCAAATATATTTTGAGGGTAAAAACGTGGGAGGCATGACGTGTTTTATTGTGCTTTGAGAAATGTTGAAATAGCTGTAGCATCAAACAAGGTTAGACTGTTGCCTAGATTTCCTGCTCTTCTTGGAGCTAAAAAGCAGCAGGTCCATCCTACTTACATCCTAAACATCCCAATCATTTTGCCTGAATTTCTGAGATATTACAGCATAGCCAGGATGTATTTCATATATACATACTGATATTATATTGATGTTGGTCTTCTCTAGTCCTGCCACAGTATCTGTTTGTCTATGGTGGGCCCTGACACCAAGCCAACAGCTTGACATGAGATTGCATTTGACCTTCATTAAGCCTTGTGGCTGACTTTTGGCTGTAGTTTTTGTGCGTGCCCATCACCGCTGCTACTAGTTCACCCTTATCAGTGGTCATACTGCCAGTTGAGTGTGTTGAATTGATGGCAGCAGTCAGTGAAACAGAGCCCAGCTTTTTCTTTTATTTTCTTCCAAGCAAAAGACCAGTGCCAAAGCAAAAGCAGCAACTTGTCAGACATATTCTCAGTTTGTATACAGATCATTGAACAGCTGTTTCCTCACACACAGAATGTATGCATATGTATGTGGTCAGCTGGCTGTAACTTGTTCAGCCCGTCTTAGTTGGTACTACTTCTTTGAGTTCAGCATTTTGTCTCTAGAAGAGCCCTTCCTTCCTCTCTTGTGTCCATGTTTGTCAAACAGCAAATGTGTATGTCTTGTGCTGAGAGACTACATTTTATTTTTGCAGCCCCAGAGCACTTCAGAGGAAACTACAGTGTCCTTCCATTTTATTTTTTCCTTTTCTCTGCAGCTTGTCTGTGCTCTGTCCTTTTCCTCTCGCTTGTTTCTCTTCCCTGCAGCTCAGAGGCTTTGGCCAACATCACGCAGTTTATTACTCAGTCTGTTACGTGCATTGTTTCAGAGAAGTTTGGTAAATGCACAGAAGGCACATTTAAACCAACGACCTCCTCCGGGAAACAATAGCTTTGTTGCTGTATTTGGCTCATAATCTTGACTTGTCAGATTGAGGTTCCCATCCCAAATGAATCATGAGATGGGGCAAACCAAGTAGTGCAGTAGCTGTATTAATCTGACATTATTAAATAGAATACAGTGTTATCATTGGTTGTTTATTGGTTTATCTGTGTATTGTCACTGCTGTAGTCAGATATAAACATGTTTGAGTACATTCTCTGGTAGTGAAGGTATGTAGCTGTGTAGAAAGAGGACTGGTTACTGTTGTGACATTCAGAGGTTTTAAAAAAGTATAAAATAGCTATTCAGAGGAAGTAGTAATACAGAAACCGCCGTGATCTAAACTGATCTGATGTTCTGTTATGTCAGCTTCATAATAAACACCCACCACAGTGCTAAAGCCATGGTCTTCTTTTTCCCTAATATCTCTCCAGTCCTGTCCAGTCTTGAGTCTGCGTAATGTTTAGTGCTGGTAGTTTACCGAGAACAATTTTAAATAAGACTGACACGTCTCTGTGATTCTTCACCGTCTCTCTGCATTCGAGACACAGCCCTCAGTAGAGTAAACTCATCCACAGCGGAGGAAGTCTCCCAGGCTCTCCACAGCTCTGTGATTGAAACTTAATCTGTGGGTCAGTCACAGAGGGGCTGGGAGGCTTCTGCTACAGTCAGATACAACAACGTCACACACTCCAGGGTTTCCCCTCAGGAAATCGGTCAGCCAGTATTTTTCAGCTGTCATCTTTGAACAGATGAACTTTTCTTATTTATGAACACTGTCTCTTTGTCAGCGCTTACTGCTTTTGTCTCCTGTCTGTTAGCTGAAAGCATCACACATCTCAACTGTCATGTAAATACACATGTATTTGCAGAAGATACACAGCTACTAGAGGAACTAGTCAGACTGATAACAGCTGTAGATTCTGCTTCAGATGCTGCTAAATACAGTACACAAAAATGTGCCATCATACTTGTCATGTTATTTACTCGCTAGCTTATTTCCGAACATACGGCATTTGCTGTGCAAAATAGCCCTGCTGGCCTTTTCTCCTCTTGTGGTCTCCAAGTAAAAATATATCGTCTCTTGTGAGATCAGTAGCGGCGGCAATCAGGTCAGCAGCCTTTGGATGGAGGGAGACAAAGTCATTGTTTACCATGTTATAATTTCACTGATATGAAATCAAATCAAATACAATATATGAGTATGGATTAAGCTGGTGCCAACAACCAGCTGCATTGGTGTAACTGTTAATAGAATGAACACAGTTCTGCATCACATCTTCTCAAATGTCAGCTCTTTTTGTCATCTGCATTTTTATATGCATCACATTTACTTACATGTACTTCCTTTTTCTTTGCTTTTATTCATCACTGTTGCTGCTCTGTTTTTCCTCTGACCTTGGAACATTTAGACGAAACTCATTCTGCAGTGTCTATATGATGTATTGAATCTTTTGTCTGATATCATTTATGTCTGTCTTCTACCAGGTACGCTGTGATCGCCTTTGGGTGTGCCAGCTGTCCTAAGATCACGTGCGGCAGGGAGGGCTGCGGCACAGAGTTCTGTTACCACTGTAAGCAGCTGTGGCATCCCAACCAGACCTGTGACGCAGCACGACAGCAGAGGGCCCAGAGCCTCCGCCTGAGGACGGTCCGCTCATCCTCCCTCAGCTACAGCCAAGAGAGTGGAGCTGCAGGTTGGCTGGCTGAGCACACACACACACACACACACACACACACACACACACACACACACACACACACACACACACACACACACACACACACACACACACACACACACACACGTTTTTTCTCACCTTAATGAAATAATGATATTACCTGAATGACCAGGCCTAGGTTTGTTGATAACATCTGATCTGTATTATGCACAGTGAAATCATATTCTCTTTCCATCTTTCTTCCTTTCAGCTGATGACATTAAGCCATGTCCACGCTGTGCTGCCTACATCATCAAGATGAACGACGGCAGCTGTAACCACATGACCTGCGCTGTCTGCGGCTGTGAGTTCTGCTGGCTCTGCATGAAGGAGATCTCAGACCTGCACTACCTGAGGTCAGTAGGTCAACACGCATATGCAGATCTTCACACACACAGGCACATAAAGTCACCAACATAATTATATAAACAAATCACTATTTGAATGTTCTCATCACCATCACTGTAACTGTGATTAGTTCATGTCCAGGTCAATAAAAGCAGTTATATTTACTGTTGTGAAATTGTGTATTGGTCGAATGAATTTGTGACAGCCCACAACTTGTAGTAGTAGTTCAAACGGTGTGGTGGACGTTTTGTTGCCTGAGTAGTGGGTAAGATTAGGAACCTATCCAACTGGTTTGGTTGTTCTGCCTCTCAAAGTTTCTGATCTAAATTTAAAATTGAGGGTTTTTGGAACAGCCATGAAGCTGAGGGTCCTTTTCCTTCAGTTGTGTGACAAGGGATGAACAAGATGAAGATCTATTACAGTATCCACTGAATGAATGAAAAATGTGAAAATATATTTGTACAGGGTGCCTGCAGGCTCTTAAAAGGTCTAAAATTCAGCAATGTGAATTTTAGGCCTTAAAATGAGATTTTCATTCTCACTTTAGAGTTTTGGGGAACATTTTTTATTCATCAACAACTTCAGAACGAAACTGACATGGAACCAAAACCAATTTTTCTACACATCCTTTTTTAGCTAGTATGGATGTAAAAAAGGCCTTAAATTGCATTGTTTTTTGCACTTTTGATTGTCTTAATTGATCCTGTAATCTCCCTCTACCTCTCTCTCAGCCCGTCAGGCTGTACTTTCTGGGGAAAGAAGCCATGGAGCAGGAAAAAGAAGATTCTTTGGCAACTGGGAACACTTGTGGGTGCCCCTGTCGGCATCGCACTCATCGCCGGCATAGCTATCCCCGCTATGATTATTGGCATCCCTGTATATGTGGGAAGAAAGGTGAGGCTCTGGAAACGCATTCATGTACAGTAGTTTGGAACACTCAAGTTTTCCTACTTATAGTTTTCACTGCATGGATGAGGCAGAACGTTGACTCATTTGGATCTGTCACTGTTCAGATTAATGTTCAAACACTGGACTGTATGGATTATTGTAAAGGCACAGGGTTTGATTCTCGGTGTTCCATTTAATAGTTTTGAATAGTTTAATAGTTTTGAATAACTGCTCTGCTTTCCCACCCACAAACCATAACTCTAAAGCACTATCGTTTCAGTTGTAAACATAATCAGTGTTGCATAACTATATAGTACATATCACTGTTATCAGTTGTGGAAGAAAACAAGCTGCCTCAATCAGTAACTAACTAGTTGCATTGTCAAATTAGCGCACACTGTTACATTTTCCCAGGCTCTTAGGTTATCTTAAGCCAGCTGAAGTCATTTGTCAGTAACCTGCCCGCTGTGTTTGTGTGTCTGTGTACAATCAGTGCTGTTCAGTATCACTCATCACACTCTCTCTCACCAATAAGATTTTGACATCACAATGAAATGAAAGTATTCAGATCCTCCAGAATTCCCCTCTCGAGCCTGCCAAGAAGAAGCCAGAGCCAGCAACCTTTTCTTCCCCGACAAAACCAGACCACATCCACAAGTGATCACGTGACACTTGTGAAACATCTGAGCATGAATCACCTGCATTCCATATACACTGTAGCTGTTCAGTATTGATGTTAAATCTCCATCTTGGTGACTCACTACATGAAGGCCAAGGACATGTACTTGCGGCATGGTCATGTGTCAGCTGTACTTTGTCATTGTTGGCTTACTTATAAAGCAGACATTTTATAATAATAGGAACAAGCAGTCTTTGTGGGAAGTAAGTGGGAATGTGTATTTGCAGTTTTTCTTTGGTTTGGAACAGCAACTGAATCAGTTGTAAATGTTTTATTTTACTTAGATCTTTCAACATTAAAATTATTTTCTTTTTTTTTTCTTATTATGTGGTCCTATTGATGGGCTTATTTGTAGTTTCAGTCTTAACATTTTGAGTCTTGTATAATACCCATTTCTCCAGTTTTTCTTCCAGCCATGTTCCTCAAGATATGTGACAGTCTTTACATTACGATTTCTTCAACAATGACTTGCCATTGGCCCTGTGTCTTTTTCCAAATTCACAAACTCAGAATAGCTTTTTTACTTCCTCTTAATAGTTTTTAACCAATTTTAAAATGTAACAATTGATGTAGATAGCTAGCTAGTTAGATAGAGTTTTGCTAACAAGTGCTGTCTTAAGATGTCATCATAGGGGAAAAAATATTGCTTACAGGAAAGGAGAAAGTTGAGTGAGGTTCTGGCTGAGGCTTGTTTAACTGTTCTTGGAGCACGGAGCAAAAAGTTTGGAAGGGTCAGAGGAATTCATGTTGTTGCGAGAATGTCTTGCAATCAGCTCTTCATTTGTTTTTTGGGCTGTATCACTCTCTAACTATACATGTGCACAGGTGTGAAAGAAAATGGAAACTGCAGGCAAGCTGGCGGTGGGTTGTTCAGGTTTTTAGGGTCTGTCGCAGCCCAACAGTAGCTCATACCTGCACCTCAGAGTTAATTACCACTACCAGCCATCTCAAAGATAAAGGAAAAACAATAATGTTATCCCAGTGATATTAACCGATTACACAACCCAACAATGTTGAATTGGTAGTAGCACTGTACGGTCCAGCATTCTTCTTCTTCATATGGTGTCTGGAGTCACTTATTATCTGGTTTTGATGCTAATTGTTAGACTCCTCAGTTTCCTCTGTCTGACTGTTACTCCCATTGCTCCCCTTCTCTCTGTCAGATCCATAACCGCTATGAAGGCAAGGATATCTCCAACCACAAGAGGAACCTGGTGATCGCTGGTGGAGTGACTCTCTCTGTCATTGTGTCCCCAGTGGTGGCTGCAGTCACTGTCGGTCGGTCTCAACCTCTCCTACCTCCTTCCTCTCTGTGCCTCTGCTTTAATTCTCTGCATGCCTGGAGATCTTTATTGGCATATCCTTGTTTGACTTTGATAGCTTCAAGAATTTCTTTTGTTTAATCTTAGAGTTCATATTATGCAAAAGTTTGTTTTCAAAGTCAATTGGATTTCTCATGAGCTGTTACAGAAAGATGGGAAAGTTGAAGGAGATGACTGTTTTTCATTTCTGTGCGTCAGCAACAGTAGCCTCCACTGCTGCTGTTTGGGTCTAACATGTCCCTGATGTCCTTATGTCTGTCTGTCTCCCCCCACAGGCATTGGAGTTCCCATCATGCTGGCTTATGTCTACGGTGTGGTGCCCATCTCTCTGTGCCGTAGTGGAGGTTGTGGTGTCTCAGCTGGAAACGGGAAAGGAGTTCGCATTGAGTTTGACGATGAGAATGACATGAATGTTGGCAGTGGGGCAGCTGCCACCGGTAAGCTTCAGTGCCCCCACCCCGACACCCAGAAGTGACCCTTTGTGTTTTTGCCCAAGTCAGCAAACAACAGAATTTGCCTTTTGCTGACTCATATACTACTGAGTCCCTGTTCAAATGAAATCTGGTGCTGGTCTCACAGAAGTGTTCTTTCACACTTTACTTTCACAGAAAAATGTCCTTTTTGTGCTTCTTCTGTGAGACCAGAATCCCACTGCTTCTTGGAAAAATATTCTTAACAGTCCAGCATTGTGTCTATTTCTGTTTCATCAGACACTTTTGTTCCTTCAGGATATTACATTTTCTCTCCCTTACTTTTATATTTTGAAATGTCATGATGGTATCTTCTATACAGATACTACATCAGTGGCAGACACCAGGAACAACCCCAGTATAGGTGAAGGCAGTGTCGGGGGGCTAACGGGCAGCCTGAGTGCCAGCGGCAGCCACATGGACCGTCTGGGGGCCATCAGGGACAACCTGAGCGAGACGGCGTCCACCATGGCCCTAGCAGGAGCCAGCATCACCGGCAGCCTTTCTGGCAGTGCCATGGTCAATTACTTAAACAGGTACTGAAACAGCTACACATGACCTTGGATTTAAATGTTAGTGCAGCTTTGGACTGCACGGTGCTTTGCCGCATTGTCTAAATCTCCCCCCTTTACATGTTGTCAGGCTGGAGGTGCAGGCCGATGTGCAGAAGGAGCGCTGCAGTCTGAGCGGCGAGTCTGGCACTGTCAGCCTGGGTACAATCAGCGACAACGCTAGCACCAAAGCAATGGCTGGATCCATTCTTAACGCCTACATGCCCCTCGACAGGTGAGCTTCTGTGTTGCTGGTGTTCTTCCAAAAATCACTAACATGAAACAGACTGCAGTGAAATATCCATCAAATGCACACCTGTGATGATAATGTAAATACTAAGTGAATATGACTGCTGACACCAGTATGATGTTAGATATGACCCAGGCTGTTGCAATGCTGCATTACTTTGCAGAAGAACAACATTAAATCATTTATATTTTTAATAATTTAGAGATAAGATATCCATTGAGCATGTTTATTCTCTCTTTAATTAAGGGTGAGAAACCCAGTATTTGGTATAGAAACGTTTGGTATTAAGTGAAGTTAAAACAGCTCATGCCTAATGATGCTTAGAAGTCTTTTGTAGCTTATTGCTGAATCATACTCCACACAAACATCCACACACACTCCCACTTACAGTACATAGAATATTTATCTTAAATGTCTTCCTTTTTTGTCTCATGCTTCCCCCTTCTTCCCATGTTCCAGAGATGGGAACAGTATGGAGGTCCAGGTTGACATCGAATCCAAACCCGGTAAACTACGGCACCACAGCGGCAGTAGCAGTGTAGATGACGGCAGCCATGTCGGCCGCTGTGGCTGGACCTGCCCCTCCAACGGTTGCACCTCCTCAGAAGGCAAAGGGACCTCCACTAAATGGGCCAAAGAGGCATCCTGCTCCTCCTCCTCTAGCTCAGGGGGCAAAAAGAGCAAAGGCAAGCTGCGCAAAAAAGGCGGCGGAGGCACCAAGATCAACGAGACGCGGGAAGACATGGACGCTCAGCTGCTGGAGCAGCGCAGCACCAACTCCTCAGAGTTTGACTCCCCCTCGCTGAGCGGTAGCCTGCCGTCCGTGGCCGATTCTCACTCCAGCCACTTCTCCGAGTTCAGCTGCTCCGATCTGGAAAGCATGAAGACGTCCTGTAGCCACGGCTCCGGTGGAGGCGACTACCACACACGCTTCGCCACCGTCAGCCCCCTACCCGAGGTGGAGAACGACCGCCTGGAGACCTGCCCCGCTTCTTCTTCGTCCTCCTCCCAGGGGCAAGGAGCTGTGATCACTCCCCACTCCCCCACCTCCACCACCTCCTCCCTGGGCCATGGCGCAGAGCTCTCCCCTCTCTGCTTCATCACAGAGGAGAATGTCAACCTGGTGTGCCCCGCTGAGCTGGACTCTCACAGCAACACCAGAGAGCTGCTAAAAGAAACCAACAACAACCACCAACCACAGCACCCAACCCAAACCCAGCAGCAGCCCAAGAACTCCTGTATACAGACTGACATATAAAATCTCAATACCTTAAGTGCTGCACAGACGCTGTTTTTATTTAACATCTTTTTCTCCTCTAAACTAACAATCATAGCCTACAGTTTAACCTGCATTTTCTGTTCTTCCCCTTGTAAAGGGGATGTGTTATTTTGGGATTTTTGTCCTTCATAAAAAAGCAACCCTTGAGTAAAACAGATCTGTGTGTCCACTGACTGTCAGAGGGCTTATTGGAAGTATTAAGAGGTTTCCACAGTGCAGCCATGTGAGAAAGCTTAAGGTTGTGAATGCTGGTGTTTCTCCCTGTGCGACCCGCTGACTGCTAACACTTTTTTGACAGTTCACTCACTCACCACTTGTAACAGAGACAGCCTTCATATTTAGCCGCTGTCCTATTGATCTGTGTAGGTTCAAATAAAGCCACTGTGCCGGTTTTCGCTAGTATTTGATTTTGGCTCGACAATGCGGATGCAACACCATGCAGGAATCTTAATGTTACAGCTTTCCAGAAGTGAACTCAAACAGGGACCAGGCAATATGATACACTAGTTCCTCTTTTTATCCCCCTCCCCCTAAACATATTAATAACAGAGGAACCTTTGTGTTCTTGTCTGTATTTATTATTAGACTTTTTTTTGTCTTTTCCCTGGATGTTTTGTTTGAGATGAACCCTCTAATGTATAATTGTAAGGCCTGGGCTCAACATCATTTTAGCACTAAAATCAGCTTGTAACACAACTGAGGTTCTCTTTTAGATGGATGCACACTCGACTGTTGTCGGAGACGGTGCTTGACGGCTTTTTAGCAGCTTGGTAACCACTGAGTTTAGACCTGTAGCTAAAACCCTCAGTGTGTGCTTTTAGTGCCAAGATGACTTTGGAAGCTCAGGTCTGGTTAAGTTCTGTGGAGAGCTTTGCGGTGATTTATGTTGGGGGTGGTTGGGGGTTGTTTGACTTGAGGAAGGTCTCTGGAAGGCCATGGTTGTCGAGATAATGCTGAAAGTCATTATATTAACATTAACCAATGGGTTGGTCAATTCTGTGAAATTGTATCAAGAAAATGTTTTGTCCTGTTCAAAGGTGATTTATTCAGGCTGACGGCCTCGCCTCACTGAGTAAGAGAGAGCTTTGATATCTTTCTTTGTTAACTCATGGTGCCTTTCAAGAAGCTGTTTGTGTTCTCTGTTTGTCTCTCTCTCTCTCTCTCTCTCTCTCTCTCTCTCTCTCTCTCTCTCCCTCTCCCTCCACTGTGTCTTCAAGACTCCAAACAACAACAACTCATTATAGGTTGCAGAATGTCTGTCTGTGTAGGAGGGATGCTCATTCACATACAGAACATACTGTGGTAGACATGGTAAATGAAGACTTTTCAATTGCCTACCAAAGACAGCACTCAGGCTCTTGTTAGATCTTATACCTTTGACTTGTCACCTGTAGACACAGTATGGTGCATCCTTTTTACATCACAGGGATGAATGAAGACAAGACCCAGGATCATACAGACATACAGACTGCTGTTTTGTACATGCTTCACAAATGCTACGCAAATAACCGAGGCCCCAGAACGGCCTGAGGCACCTGCACTGTTACCTGTGTTTCTTATTACATTGATGTTCTGAAATGCACAAATGTGAATAGGGATACATAGGTTTGTTCTGGGTTACCTTCCCTATTGATTTGTCCAGTGATTCCTGTTTGTGTTGCCAATCAGTGCTGCTGAGCAGACTTGAAGTCAAATTCTGTTTTCAACACTTTAATTTTGGAGTGTTTGCTTAGGCCTGTCTTTACTGCTCAGTGGTCAGCTTTATTGAGGCCACTGAGCCGGCTCAGGTGAACCTCTACCAGGTAGGTAAAAGCATCTTGAATGGTATTTTGACCCAGGTCTGTTACTGAATGAACACTCAAGTTTGGTTCGGTGGATAAGGCTACATGCTGCAGTCCTTCCCGCATTGTTTCTGTTCTTCCTCTCCGGGTTCTGTTTCTCATTCTTCACCAAAACTCCAGTTTCTTGATCCTAATTTGAACACTAGTGCCAGATATAATTTGTAATTTGTGCAGAATGGCATAAGGTATTTGTATATGTGTTTGGTAATTTGCTTTACTATATGCGTGTAAATGCATATCAGAAAAATAAAAAAACTATATGAAATGTTGTCATCCCGTTCTGTTTTTCAGGTTAATACAAGTATTGTAAATGATTAGGGTATTCCACTTTTATTTTTATTCAACTATTTCATTTCATCTTTGCACAGAGAAGAAAACCTTTACATTTTCCAGTTTATTGAATAGCCCTCTGTGAATATTGTACATCTCTTCTGAAATATAATGTTAAAACCACAGTTAAGAGACACTGTGAAATTATTGCCTCTCGCCCTGCGTCACCCTGAACTAAATTTGGTACATTCATGTAGAATTGATAAAACACTTTAAAACAAAGAATGGTTTGGATTCAGGCTTCAATTTTGGATGACTGGAATATTCAGTAGTTAATGACTTAACAAGGACAGAATGTCTTTAAATTAGTAAATAAGTGACATTTTAAACAATTACGTGCATGTAGCTAAGTGAATATATGTATGATTTATGATGCATAAATCCAAGCCATTTAACATTTTGATAAAAGCTACTGAATGACATAAATATACTCTCTCTGTTTAGGAGTATCTGCACACTCACCAAAATGTAAGTCGACCCCTAGTCTGAAATCCAAGGCACACATCTCTTAAAGATGCTGCTTCTCTCCACTGTGTACACATCTGCATGGCTGAACTGCTGTGAAGATGGATATGCAGCTGTGCGCTGCCTAATTTGGTAAACAAACAGGTTGAGCAACTTCATGTCATTCCTTATGGAGAAGACACAAACACCAACCAGCCTTTAAGAGTGATTTTACGTTAGAACTCAGATCTGCTAATTGCATAGCTGGATAAACAACAGAGCGTCTGAGTCATGTAAGGTTACAAATTGTATTTTCTCCTACAACATAGTCAGTAGATATCAGTTCAACGCAGACTGTCGTCATACTGCACACAGCAGCAGTAAGGTATCACGCAGGCCCTTTTCTTCCACAGAGATAATACAGTACATATGATTATAACTCAAAACTTAGAAACATTTTAATTAGCTCGGTAGCAATGCTACACTGAATGCACTGAATATCATTTCTGTGTCTGACTGAAGCTCATTTATCAAATAACTGATATCAAAAGACCAAAAGGGTTCGAGAACCAGAAACAGCCGAGCCTGTCCTGAGAAAACTCAACTGCCTGTAGGGAAAACACTTGCCTGTAGCCTTACATAACATTGTACATTGGACCCTATTTATCAATACACTAGAAAAGGTCCACGGTATCCCACTGTCTGCCCGCTGTACAATGCAAATGGTTAGTGGTGGTACAAAAGTAAATCTGCATAGCAAAATGTTCTGGAGAGAAAAATATATTCCTTAAACCGTCACTCAAACATACAGTGATCAGATCATTTTACAGCACAGACCAGTAGAGTGAATGTGACTCCGTTGCACTGTATCGCTCCGGGGCACGTTCTGCAGCTTCCTGCCTTTGTGTACTCAGTCCTTGTGCAGTGTTTTGCATAGATCCAAGAGTTGTAGTGGTGCAGCAGCTCATGCAGAGAGAGCAGGGGCAGGAGGGTCAGATGTATTTGTTGGCCAGGTTCTGAACATCGTTCTTAGTGAACTCGGCGCTCTCCACGGCCGACAGATGCTCAAACAGCTGAGTCATGTGGTGACGCTCCTCTTTCTCCAGCAACATCAGGACAACCTGTGAAAAAACATTTGTCACCAAAACTGTTGCTGGGGACAAAGTGGACAGATTTCTTATAAAACAACATTCATTCATTAATAAATGTAGTAGTTATCAAATTAAATGTGTGCTCTGTGAGGAGAGATGTGACAAAATATATTTTTGCTTTTTCAGATTTGTGAATTACAAAACCCCTTCCCGAGAGCTAGAGCTGCAACGATTAGTCAATTATTAAATTAATCACTAACTATTTTGATAATTGATTCATCATTTTGAGTCATTTGTTAGCTCCAAATTAGCTCCAAAATTCAGCTTTTCAAATATGAACATTTCCTGGGTTTCTTTAGTCCTCTACGACGGTAAACTGAATATCTTTGGGTTGTGGACAAAAACAAGACATTTGAGGACATCATCTTGGGCTGTGGGAAACAATGATCAATTGTTCGATCGATTCTAGGACCAAACAACTAATCGATTAATTGAGAAAATGATTTACAGATGAATTGATAATGAAAATAATCATTATTTTCAGCATACCGAGAACCTTTCGGCAGTGTGCAGATGGTTGAGGTGTTGGTAGACCAGGTTGGGGTCTTTCTCCAGGAGGTGGGAGTCCAGAGCCTGCATGATGAAGCTGATGTTGTGTCCATCCAGCTGGGTGCTGAGGAGCTGGGGAAGCCTCTCCGGGGTTGTGGAAGCCAGCAGGTCAGCACAGGCTGCTGTGTTCCCGCTGCAGCGAGCTGCGTTCAGGGCCTGGCCGAACTCGTAGGCGTCGGTCGGCTGGAGGTTGATGCTGACATCCTCTCCTCTGCAGCTGCTGTCTGAGTTACGGACGGCTGACGTTTCCTCGTCACCCTCGACCTGAAGAAAAAGAAAAAAGAAAGTAGGCAGTTGTTATGAAGCCAAGAACATACTCTGCTAAGTTATGTGAAGTTAAGTTATTCACAATCTTTTAGAACTCCTTTGAATGTACCTCCTTTTGAATAAATCATTTGGTTTTGGCACAGTAATCCACTCTGTGATGTACTGGTTTTTAATCTCAACTGGCCCTGGTCTTTGTCTTTTGGAGCGTGCTATCACAGAGATAGCAGCACACAGTGCACAGTAGCAGAGTTATGTGTCTGTGGACATGAAACACTCAGCTAATTCATCAGTACAAAAGATGAGACACTGCTTGGAAACAAATCAGGATGCAACAAGGTGTGTATATATAAAAAAGCATTCTGATCTAATTCACACATTCATCAGACACACAGCTACATTTTTCTTCCACTGAAGTTGTTTGTCTGGACACCTGAGGAGCGGAGGAGAAAATAATTAGCACTTTAACTCGCTTTGATTTTCTTCACCAGCACTCCTTCACTGCCAGTTGGTGCTGGGCAGATACCTTACTAATTGGCTTGTTGCTGCCTACAGGTTTCATGAGTGGTGGTTGACAGCAGTGAGACTCCATATAACCATATATTCTCTGTGTGGCTGGAAGACTAAAAGATTGATCTCTAAGTGGCTTAAATCAGTGATGTCAGCCCTATGAACAACCCTCACACTCAGTCCTTTCATTCAGTGTTAATATACTGTATATTTGACCGATGGTTACCTAAAAAGAGTGAAATATGTGTGTGACGTGCCAGAGATTTCTCTGCAGTGGAAGCAGAGAGAGGGCTAGTGACATGCACCAGGGGTCTATTCTATGCTATTAGTCTTAACCACTAGGCTGCCAATACGCCGCATCCTGAGCTCCCATTATGACCACATGTACACAAATCCAATATAGATTGTAAGAATGTCAAGAGTGGGTGTGCCTATTTTATGAAAATAAGTGGAAACAAAGAGAATCCCACTTTCCGGGTGAGCAGTGCACAGGATCTGAATGAATCCAGATTCAAATATTCATTAAGAAATGCAGGTGTAGAGGTGTGTCTACCTCTGTTATGGGGACTGTCTTTCTGGGTTTGGTTGGTGAAGCATTGGACAGACTCTGTCTGAGCAGCACTGTGACCTCCTCTAGCTCCTTCTCAGCCTCCTGCACGTTGGGATCCTGCTGCAGTACCTCCTGCAGGTCAGAGCTGCACGCCAGGTAGTCCTGGAGGAGGTCAGACACATTTTACAGCGACATTTTACAGAGTTTAAATATTGTAGGAGGGGTGTGAGAAATTCAATTCTATGCCTCTTTCACAAACAATTAGTGGTGAATTTAAAGATTCCCCCCTCAGCCCTCTTTTTAAATGAACACATTCCCTCGTGGTATTAGTCATTCATAGCCAGCTCTCTTCACCTTGAGGCCTTTATTGGCCATTGCTCGTCTGTAAAAGGCCTTCTTATTGGTTGGCTCCAGTTTCAGTGCTGCATCACAGTCCTGCTTGGCCTCAGTAAACCTCTCCAGCTTCAAGTAGCACAGGGCTCTGCAAACACACACACACATGTCACTTGTGATTTTTATTTTTGTCACCAGCAGCTAATCTTATTTGATGCATGACTAAAAGGTATCATGAGGTTGTGACTCATTGACTGCAAATCAGACTTGACAATAAAGGCTGATGGCACGAAATAGATCATTTTCATATGAAGTGGGTGAGACATGAGAATTTACATCTCTGACGTCTAGCTTTGTTTCCTTCATGAATGTGTTGTCTGTATTTTCAGTCAAATGGCTCTCAGCAGCTGTGTGGCAGTGACAAGTGCCTGTTTGCTCTGGTGGGGCTGTACATACAAGGTTTCCGCAGCAGAGCTCAACATACATACGCAAACATAAAGACACAATAGGACATTTTTCATGTCAGCATCAGTTTCCTCTGTGATGCAATCAACAATCTACCTGCTATTGTGAAAAAGAAAAGGGGGGGGGGGCAGTTAGGAGTCACAGAATGGAGTCAGACCTGCCGCTGCATGCACTGCGCTCGCTGTATTTCTCTTTAGATGTAAGATAATATGATAGCGGCTATAAGCGGAGTTGTGATAAACAGCGCTGGAGCAGGCAGCTGTTTCCTGCCTCGGCCATTCTGTTCCAACTTACCAACAATACATGCTAATTTCCTACCAGTGACAGACTGACGACTGCTTGGGATTAGCTACAGAGCTGGATGAACCGCCTGACAGATGACAGCTGGGGATAATTAATCAGTCTCTTTTAATTTATCCAAATGAATAAACTGATTTTCTGTGTGTCTTCTGACATTCCTGCTCTATAAGAAAACCAACCCTGAGAAATATGGAGTAGTAGTGAGGAACAGAAAGTGAAAGAGACCACAGCAGTGTTTGTGTTTGTTCATGTTGAGTTGGAGCCTCTAACCTGTTGGTGTAGATTGCACACTCTTCTGGCTTTAGCTTAAGGCATTCAGTGTACTTTCCAAGTGCATCCTGGTATTGGCCCTTCTTCACAAATTCGTTC